ATAATAAATGACATATGGCTAAATTATGGGAAAACATTCATAGTTATGGAAGCTTGGAGTTTATGTCCCAGATCTGTCTTACTAAATTAAGGAACAGACTGCATATGTTGGCACACATCTATAATCCCAGCAATGGAGAAGTTGGAGACTGAAGGATCAGGAGTTTAAGGTCATCCTCAACTACTTAGTGAGTTTGAGGTCATCCTAGGTTACATAAAAATCTGTCCCAGGGGGCTGGAGAGATGGTTCAGCAGTTAAGAGCCCTAGTGTTTTTGTAGAAGACCTGGGTTCGAATCCTTGCACCCACATGCCAGTTAGCAACATGACATTTAGCAACCATTCATAACTCCAGTTCCAGGGGATCCAACACCCTTTTCTATTCTCTTCGGGTGCACTTACACACCTGCAAGCATAACACTCATACACATAAAATAAAAATAAATAGTTTAAAAAAGAAAGCCTGTCACAAAACAAAACCTAAAGGAACAGGGCTGGGGCTATAGCTCAGTGGAAGAGGTCAAATGAATTGACAGTGCATTGATGCAGTTTGTCTCTCGAGACATAGACCTTTGTTTGGTTTCTGATGATGCCAGAAAATCTTGATAGCACCAGAGATACCAGCAGGAGTGCTCAGTGATGGCACCCACAGAACCAGGTAAAAGAACTGTCAGGAGCCACTAATCATTGAGCTGTTGGCAGCCTCATTTACTGAGTTTGTGTCATGCAAACCAGTACTTAACCTGCCCATTCAGGAGGAAGAAGTTTTCTGGAGAGCCTCACAATACCTGACCTTGAGGCATTAGTGGTAAACAAAAGGATCCAAGAAGCCTTTGATCTGACCACTCCCTGACCCTCAGATACAGGTGGGGAAATACAGCAATTGTAACTAATTGAGTTCTTCTGTATAAAAAGACAGAACTGAAATAAATCGAGGCTGCTGCAGTATTCACTGTGAGCCCTCCCAAGCATCTTTTCTGTCTCCTTTCCTTTCTTTCAATCCTCACTCCCCCTTTCAGGTACTGTCTGTTTTGGCTGGCTGGCACCGGCACAGCTGGGAGTGGTGGCACATGCCTGTAGTCCCAGCACTTGGGAGGCAGAGGCAGGG